TCCATTTATGACTGTTCATTTCTGAACAGAGAAAACAAAAATGAAGCCAAAGCATTTTGAGTAACTATTGGAGATCAAAGTGAACTAAGATAAACTGTCTGGAACTATTACAGAAATTGGTGGGGGAAAATAGAATTTAACTGAACAAAAATTCTACTTTGCACACTCTCCAGGAAACAGAATTAGTGTGTTTCATCTTAGACAAAAACTGTTCTAAACAAGGTGTTTTGTTTTAGGTTAATCTTACCATGTTTCTCTGGTCAGGTCCTCTTTCACTTTCTCCAACAATTACTTTTAAACTTCTCCCTCTTCAACCCTCAGGGCCAAAACAACTTCCTTCCCTGTCACTCTCAACAGATGGCATTGACTACTTTTCTACGAAGGGTATGAGACATCATCAGAACTTCCACACCTTACATCACCAGGAGTAAATCCTTCCCTCATTGGCCCCTATTCTTTTCTCCTAATTTTAAAAGACAAGCTGGCACTCCTCGCTAAAGCCACCTGTTCTCTGGACCTCATCTCTTCCCATACCTTCTAGGACTTTGATCTCTCTCTCTCTCTCTCTCTCTCTCTCTCTCTCCTCTCTCTCTCTCTCTCATCTTCAACCACTCCAGGTCATCTTGTTCTTTTCCAGAAACATTTAAAACAGGTTCAGGTCAGAACCATGGGAAAAAAATAACCAGCTCTCCTTCTAACCCCCTATATCTACAATCCTCTCTTCCCCCACTTCACAGCCAAATCTCAAAAGAGTATCTAGAACTAGCCTCCACTTCCTTACTTCTCACTCATTCCCAATCTTGATTTTATCCCCAACATTCCATTGAAATTCTTACCCTAAAGTTTCCATATTTCAAATTCTGTGGACATTTACCGGTCTTCACCCTACTTGACTTCTCCATAGGATTCAACACTGTTTCACACACTCACGTGAGTGCACACACACTCTCTTACACTTCTTTAGCCTTTATTTTAAAATGTCATTTATAAAGAGGGTCAACAGTGTTTAGTTGAATATCGTTGTATTTCTCTCAATACCAACTTATTTATTGTAAGATTATTACTTATAATAATTACTACTCATTATTAGTATTATATGCATGTTTGTGTAAATTAGACTTTGGATTTATTTATACTTTATATTTGAATCAAGACCTTATATTGATTAAAAAAACTACACACATAAGTAGGTTATATTATTTCTGAATTTCATCTTAGGTTAGTAGAAAGGAATTTTCAACATATTTGTTAGAGAAAGTTGGTGCTAGTCTGGTGGGATTGAGAGTTTCTGCTCTAGTGATGCCAACTTCCTCTTTCTAAAGAGATCCAGGGCAAGTGGGCTTCTGTACTTCCAAGAGTGCCCCTTCATCGCTTTTGAAACAGATTCAGCTTTTCAAGTAGCTGAATGATAATTCTTCTCTTTAAATAATATGAGTTATTTTGGTTGCTCTTTAGTTCTTATGTGAACTACCAAAATAATGGATACTTTTTCATTGATTTTATCATTTCTTTTTAAACTTAACTCTCCCAGCATTATGCATGGGAGGATGCAGAGTAGAAAAACAAACCTTCAAGCACAAGATTTTTTTTTCTTTTTGAAAATTATTTGTTGTGAAGTTTTTCTCTGGCCATGTTTCTTATTTTGGAAAACTCTTTTCATGGGCTCAAAATGGCAAAGCCATCTTTTGATTATTGTTCCCAAGAAAGGGGTTTTAGTCACTAGACTGCTTTCTGCATGTAGGTTTCCTTTTTATTTCCCAGTACAGTAGGACATTTCTGGTTGCTTCAGTAGAAAAGCAACTGACTGCATGACAGGTGGGTGTTCTGTGAAGAGTTCCTGTTTTCCTGATGGACCCAGGGCTGATATGTGGGTCTACCTGGAGGCATCCTACATGGAGCACACAGAGTGCAAGGCTGTGGCTCTGGTGGAGTGTTTTCTCCCTCTGCCTTTAAGAGAACAAGGGCCTTGCAGCAGCATCAGCAGTATACAGAGGCATATCTCACCAGGGCAGCCAGGGAACCAGAGTCCAGAGGAAGCTTAATGGGGCAGAGATGCACTGGTCTGTGGGCCATAGGCTATAGCACAGCAGAGACAAAGGAAGCTGTCTAAGCCCTTGCTACTCTGTCTGAGGATCAATACCATGTGTGTAACCTGGGAACTTATTAGAGATGCACAGTCTCAGGCCTCATCCCTGACCCGTGAATCCAAACCTGTGTTTGAACAAGATCCTTATGCAACTCCTGTGCGCATGATAGTTTGAGAGGCACTGCTGCTCTAACCTACATTAAAGCCAAAGCCTTCAGACCACAGCACAGACACTGCTCCCTCCAGGAAGCCTTCCTGGTACTCCTTTCACATATCCTGGCACTTCGTCACCTGGATCTCGTCCATATCCTTACTGGCCTTGTCTCTGCAGGTCTGCATGTCCCTTCCTCAGAGGTGAGCTCTAGCCCAGATTATTCTGTGCTCACTTTGCACGCTGCCTGACTCAGAGCAAACTCCAATCAAAAGGCTCACCAGGCCAATGAACGAATGAATGGGCAGGTGATCAGTTCAACAGAAATAAAAGCCTGAAATTCACGGGAAGTTAGGTGTTTATTTTTGCTGCTTCTCCGACAAGCTCTACAAGGTAAAATCAAAATACACAAACAGTTCCAATAGCATAGATTTCAAACGTTCAACCTCAGACCATGGCATTTAGGGTTTCTAGAGCACTTTGGTTCAGGCACTTTTGTACCCAGAGGCACATAGAATTTCCCACTGTAAGGGAGTGACTTGCTCTCATGGGGGTGCTGTTGCCAGCTGCCTGATGAGGTAGGGGACAGCAGCAGACACCAGGTCAAGGCCAAGCACACAGCCCACCCTGCCTTTCATGAGCTGACTGTCCAGTTTGGGGGTGGCCAGGTCCTCTGCTGCACCTGTCCACTCCTGAGGAGCACCTGCGGCAGGGGGTGGGCGGGGAAGGGAAGGGAGCACATTAAACTTGGCTCTGTGTCAGCATCTTTGGTATAAGGAAACATCCTGGGCCTGGGGAGGGCCAGAGAAAAAGGGCAGCCAATACCGACCGGGGTTGATAATCCTTGGTGGGTCCCAGCTGCCCATGTTCTCCCTGCT